GGTATGCAAGACCTCACCAAAAAACACACAACAAGCAACCTCGTATGGGTACTTCTGTTTGATAAGCAAAAATGACAGATGCAGCCATACAACGGTCAACTATGCACATCGCAGCAACATCCTGAGTAGAATGTACCCCAAATAGGACACTGGGAATTGGGGGTAGGGAAACGCACATGCGCCATTGGGGGTAATGTGGGCTAGCGGCAACCAACCAGCCTGGGGGAATCTAGGGTGAAATCACTGTGCTGTGAGCACAGGATCACGCCGCGTTACAGGACAGATGGGACAACCCCCACAGCACCACACTACAGGACATAGGAAGGGCACCGATTTGAGATGTCTGTTCAGCAAGGGGCTTAGATCAGCCTTACTACCCTAGGTCCTAGATGACCTTCATGCCCTGCACTGGTGTCCTAGGGAATTCCAGGTCCAGAGCTTGCAGGCCTGGGCTGTATAGTACTCCTCTAATGGGCATAGATAACCTACACACAGTAGGGAAAACACCCTCAAAAGCCACTGTGTCCTTTTTCACAGGGATGATTTCCCAAGGCTCTTGCATTTCCTCAAAGAGCTGGATGTATGTTGCAAGTGTTTCATTACTCCATTCAAAAGGTTAGTGTCCAAGTTAAGCAATCATGTATAGTTTTAACAAAATACAGGACTATGTAGCACTTTAAAGACTAACAAGATGGTTTATTAGGTGATGAGCTTTCATGGGCCAGACCCACTTCCTCAGATCAAATAGTGGAAGAAAATAGTCACAACCATATATACCAAAGGATACAATTAAAAAAATGACGAGGAGTCCTGTGGCACCTTATAGACTAACTGAAGTGTAGGAGCATAAGCTTTCATGGGCAAAGACCCACTTCGTCAGATGCATGTGGGTCTTTGCCCACGAAAGCTTATGCTCCTACACTTCAGTTAGTCTATAAGGTGCCACAGGACTCCTCGTCGCTTTTGCAGATTCAGACTAACACGGCAACCCCTCTGATATTAAAAAAAATGAACACACATGAAAAGGACAAATCAAATTTCAGAACAGAAGGAGGATGGGGGAGGGGGGGGAAGAGGTAAATGTCTGTGAGCTAATGATATTAGAGGTGATAATTGGAGAAGCTATCTTTGTAATGGGTAAGATAACTAGATCCTTTGTTCAGACTCAGGTGTAAACTGTTGAATTTTAGCATGAACAACAGTTCAGAGGATTCTCTTTCAAGTGCAGTCTTAAAAGGCTTTTGAAGCAGGATGGGTCTGGCCCACGAAAGCTCATCATCTAATAAACCATCTTGTTAGTCTTTAAAGTGCTCCATAGTCCTGTTTTTTGTTTCAGCTACACCAGACTAACACGGCTACATTTCTATTACTATGTATAGTTTTATGTTTTAAAATTTGCTCCTTTTGAAGGGGACATTTATTTCTTTACTGATTTAGTCTGCGTGTCTTTTTAGAGCTTGATACCACGGATGCGTTTCCCAGTGAGCTTAGTTAACTCTATGCATTGTATTCACTTCTGGCTTGTGCAGCAGCAAGTCGGTATCTAGTACTATTTACTTAGTGTATCAGAACCAGAAGAGAACAAAATCTTGTACAGACTCTTCCCCTTTCCACCACAACTAAAAACCTGTGAGTGCACAGTTCAGCAGCAACACTTTTTTTAAATCCCACCTCTGAAAATGGGGGACAGGTCTCCCCACATTCAAACATTTATTACCCTCAACCCCCCACCTCAAGTTTTTATAAAGCTTTTAAATAAGTATACATCCCTTCAAAAGACTAAGAGTAAAAACTGAACAGCAAGCCAAACAGAAGAACGCCTATCAAATCTTACTAGCGAAGGCCACACAATTTCATAAATTTCAAGCCACAAAAAACATTAGCATGTAAGGGACTTGATTGTACAGCCTGTCTCCGACTTACAAACTGGTTACGGACCAAGCAAATGGTCGTAACTCGGTTTGTTCGTAAGTCGGACCCCATTGAGTTACATGTGACCGCGCTGTTCGTAACTTTTGGTCGTAACTGCGAACGGTCTTAAGTCGACCGTTCGCAACTAGGGGACCGGCTGTATCCTTTTAAGGCATGAATCTAGAACATAATTTGAAGGTCAAGTGAGCAACTGATGACAAGTAACATCTTCGCTTGTTCCAGTGCTATGCCCCACCTAGGCTGACGTGTGCCGAGATCAACAGTGCTCTGCCTGAACAGGTCACACTGAGCTCTGTGCTTGAGGACTAAGTCAGGGGTCTCCAACCTTTTTAAGCACAAGATCACTTTTTTAATTTAAGTGCAATCCAGGATCTACCTCAAACCCAATACTCCTACCCCTGCCCCACCTCCACCCCACCCCTTCTCACTCCATCCTCCCTCCCCCATCCTCACTCACTTTGACCAGGCTGGGGCAGGAATTTGGGATGTAGGAGGGGTTCAGGACTGGGGCCGGTGTTCGGAACGCAGGCTCCAGCTGGGCACCGCTTATCACAGGTGGCTTCTAGGGGGTCGTGCAGGGGGCTAAGGCAGGCTCACCCCTACCATGGCCCTGCACCACTCCCAAAAGCAGCCAGCAAACTATCTCTGCCCCCCTCTGCTCTGTGGAGATGGGGTACAGGAAGAGCATCCCAAGATCGTTGCCCTGCACAGCAAGCAGAGGGCTCCCACAGGCAGCTCGAGGGCAGGAGCAGAACAGCAGTGCTGAGAGGCAGTTGAAGTGCCGGCACTTGACAGCCTCTCAGCCAAACCTGTCAGGATCCCCCGTGAAAGGCTCCAAGATCTAGTAGTAGATCCCGATCGACTGGTTGGTGACCACCGGACTAAGTGTTTCAACAGAAAACAACTCTGAGCCTTGGAGACATTTAAAATGGTCTCTTTTCCAAATCATATGGGATGTCAAGTATATTGGGAAAGAGCAACCGATTCCTGAAGTCAGTAATTCCCTCTCCCCTCCAGCTTATGCCGACTAAAGTCACGCGTCCTTACCTCAGAAAGCCCTTCTTTGCACAGGGGACATTTTGGGTTGTGATCTAGGCATCTTTCAAGACATTTCAGGCAGAAGGTGTGCCCACAAGGTGTGGTGACTGGTTCATAGAAAAGCCTGGAAGGGAACAAATCGACACAAAAGCGACAATATCGTGTAGCAAGACTAAGATAAGAGGCAACTTCATAACAGCTTCTTTCCATATCTATTCAGTCGGTACAATTCGGTGCGCTTTAGTCAAGTCTGTTTTGCATGGTTTGTGTCTTTAATCCATTAAAGGGCGTCCCGATTACCAGTCTAATGTGGGGTGCATTCTGAAATCCTGGTTCATTGGAAACAGAAGATTTGCCACTGATTTCTGCTTGAGCAGGACTGCGGTGATGAATAGCAGTATAAAATATTAAGATAGGTCTTTTATATTTTTCAAATGAAGCCGATTAGAAATAAGGCCCTAATCTTATAAACCCTAACTCACATGGGTCAGGTCAAGTCAAGCACAACTCTGTCATTTGGGGATCTATACGATTAGTAAAATGGGTGTTTGCTACTACATTACTGCTACTGAGTCTGTTTAAGTCTCCAGAAGCGAAGAGTGAGCGGGGATTTGATAGCAGCCTTCAACTTCCTGAAGGGAGGTTCCAAAGAGGATGGAGAGAGACTGTTCTCAGTAGTGACAGAACAAGGAGCAATGGTCTCTAGTTGAGGTGGGGGAGGTCCAGGTTGGATATTAGGAAAAACTATTTCACTAGGAGGGTAGCCAAGCACTGGAATGGGTTACCTAGAGAAGTAGCGGAGTCTCCATGCCTAGAGGTGTTTAAGTCTCTGCTTGACAAAGCCCTGGCCGGGTTGATTTAGTTGGGATTGGTCCTGCCTAGAGCAGGGAGCTGGACTTGATGACCTTCTGAGGTCTCTTCCAGCTCTGTGATTCTACCATATCTAATGGCTGGATATTTAATTGTGTGTGAACATATCATGTAGCTTCTAACTTCCAACTGAGCATTCTTCCACAAAAAATGCTATTAAATTGTGATTCTGCTTTTCAAGAAAGTTTTTTTCCTGGCTAAACTCTTTGGAAGACCAAGTGATTCCAAATACATTTTCCCAGCTGACGAGCATTGAAAAAAAGCCCAGGGATGTTACCCAAAATCTCTAATTGGAACTAGAAATGGGACCATTCAAAACCCCATTACTTTGCTCTTAACCAAAAAAAATCCCAAAGCCTCAAGTTATTTAGCCTGATATATACTTAATTTTATTAAAGATAATCATTTTTTTAAGTTTATCAAGATAAATATGGGTGCAACTGTCTGTGCATAAAAACTGTTATTAAACCTACTCTGCATGCTGAGAAAATTAAGAGCATTTGACTTAAACTGACTATTGCTGGTTTTGTTAAGTGTATTATTGACATAAGTACAGACATTTAGGCTGTGTCTAGACTGGCAAGTTTTTCCCCGCAAAATCATTTGATTTTGCGGAAAAACCTTGCCAGCTGTCTACACTGGCCGCTTGAATTTCTGCAAGAACACTGACAATCTTATATGAGATCATGTAAGATCGTCAGTGTTCTTGCGGAAATACTGTGCTGCTCCCGTTCAGGCGAAAGCCCTCTTGCACAAATCATTTGCGCAAGAGGGCCAGTGTAAACAGCCCAGTACTGTTTTTCCACAAAAAAGACCCGATGGCGAAAATGGCGATCGGGGTTTTTTTGTGGAAAACTGCATCTAGATTGGCCACGGATGCTTTTCCACAAAAAGTGCTTTTGCGGAAAATCATCCTGCCAATCTAGACGCGATTTTTCCAAAAATGCTTTTAACGGAAAAGTTTTCCGTTAAAAGCATTTCCGGAAAATCATTCCAGTGTAGACGTAGCCTTAGTGAAGGAGCATCTGAAGGAATAACTAAATGCCAGAGTTTTATCTTATTGCCCATCAGCTAAAATCCTCTGTAAATGGTTCAATGAGAATAAACCTGGCTGCAAAATATTACTGGTTTTGCTTTGAAATGCTTAATGCCACATTCTAAAGTGAGTGTTTGTACACTTAATAAACTCACTACGATTTACTTGGACAACTAAAACTTTACATGTAAGCATCCGTACAGGAAATGTCTATTAGAGGCAGTCCTGATCCAGCTCTTACTGAAAGTTTTGCTGTTGAATTTAATGGGAGCTGGTTTAAGACCATTTGGAGGTAAATATCATTTAAAAGTAAGATTTCTGGAACGCATGCATCAGGCACAGTAGGGCAACAGCAATAATATTCATCCCAGCTAGGAAATAACTGCTCACTTTCTAGCAAACACGGAATCAGAAATGCACAGCTGGAAGATCTTGGCAGCTCATCTACTCAGCCCCTGGGCTGAGTCCGGATTTAATATACCTCCTCCTGAATATACCTCATCTTGAATAGTCAGGAATCCTACACAAGTGCAAACGTGCACTTTTAGGACACAGAAGTGCTCCTGATGGAGCTGTATGGGCTTTTTACTATGCTCCTTCTATTTCCTTTGCATTGTGAGTTTGCTGGGCACCCAACGTAGCTGGAATGAGTGACTCACCACCCCAAAACATGTTCTGCCAGTGTCTACCAGCTCCTAAAAAGGATATAGGTCAGTAACCTGGAAAATGGATATAGGTCAATCGTAGCTTCTCCTATTAGCTGGCGAAAGGTCACTAATTAATTAGTCATTGAATCATAGACGATTATCCTATTAGCTGGCGAAAGGTCACTAATTAGTCATTGAATCAGACGATTAGCTCGAAGCAGGACCATCCTCAACTAAATCACCGCCGTGTAAAGTAGTCCAAGGTATGTCAACCTCCGAGTCACTGATAAAATCTTTCTGAATTACAGAATATGGCTCGTGGCTACGAGGATCACTATGTGTTCACAATATGGCTCGTGGCTACGAGGATCACTCTACTATGTGTTCATATCAATGGCAAGAGGAAGCCCCTCCCACAGGATCTCAGTTACACAAGCCTTTACATCCATGTGGTCTCAAAGGCTGACACTCCATGTGGCTGCAAGGGTCTGTGCTGTCCTGAGTCACAGGATCACGGCCAAGATCACCACAGCCGTACTACACCCAATGCTGATCACTTAAAAATATGAATCAATTCTTGGTTTAGCAAGGAAGGAGATAGGTCAGAGCTAAGTAATTTTAAAAAATGCACCTGAAAATGGCTTTATAAATGGCCAAGCTGACAGCCTGATTACAAACAGCTCAATTCAAATTATGAGCATGTGTGGAGGGGAGTGTTTTGCTTTTGGTAATACTGAGTCGTTGGAAAGCTGTGTGAACTCTCTCAACACTTGGTTCAGAGGTACAATTTAATCATTTTTTGTAAGTTTTAACAATTTGTTCCAAGCTGAAACTAAGCCAAACCAAATATCCTATTTTTCCAAAATATTTCATTGTTTTATAAATAATTGTAAAATATGTGTGTTGTTTGTGGGCTTTTCAGTTCAAAGAATGAAGCAAATACAAACTTCTATAGCCATGCGTGTCCAGAAAAAACAAAACTAAATGCCATTTCATTTTAAAGTTAAAATCCAAATAGGAGATTAATCCAACACAGCTAATTTGTTTTGTGGACTTTTTTCCTGAAGTGCAGGTGTACCCCTGGTCATAGCCCTGAGAAACTAACTTCTTATTTTCATGGCCACAAATCAAGGTAGCCTGAGAATTCATTAACTAAATTATACAAACTGACAGACCTGCGAAAGGAGCTTAAAACTTTAATCAACGTTTTGTGGAGGAAACGTATACTTAGTTTTGCTACATATTTCAATAATTTGAATTTAGGCTGTTCATACACCGCTACAAGGATTAAGCTAGCATCTTGTATCCGAATACTTATTTGCAGTCTCTTCTTGCTGATCTATAGAAACACATGATTTTATGGTCACATGATGACTTGAAGCTAGAGATTTCATTTGGAATAATTTACTAACACATTTCTAAATGTTAGAGAGGCAAATACATCTGCCCAAGTTTATTGGTGATGCATGCTCTGCTCACAAGACTGATGTGTTAGGCAGCTCTCATTTTCCATGTGGATATTAATGGCACCTCCAAAGAGAGATCAGTGACATTCATAGAATCCTAGGGAATGGAAGAGTCGAGCCCTCTGCCGAAAGCAGGACCGCCAGCCAGGGCTTTGTCAAGCCAGGACTTAAAAGCCTCTAGGGATGGAGATTCCATCCCCTCCCCAGGAAATCCATCCCAGTGCTTCCCCACCCACCTAGGGAAATCCTTTTTCCTAATAGCCAACCAAGACCTCTCCCACATTCAGTTGTGTGAACAGAGCCCGTATTAAGTTCCCTGCGCAGACTTATTTTGACTAAGTACAAGAGAGAAACAAAGGAATTCCATTTGCTTATAAAGGTCTTTGCTATTGCAACACACTGATACAAAATAGCATCACTATAGGACTTGCATTACTGAGACGACACTTTCAAATACGAAAAATGCATACATGGCCCATGTCTTACATTAACTGCAGAAGACAGTCTGATTTCCACTCGTAATAGAAGAGTCTTTCAGAGATGTTTACTAGTCTATTTAACCACTGACATATATCTTTTGCCAAAAAAGTCATTTATCTGGGGCATATCTAAAGCTTTCAGTCACGGTCCCATTCATAGCCATCTCAAAATCAAATACCTAGAAAAACCCCAACCCCACCCAACAGCTTCCAAATGCCAGAAAACTAAGACCAAGTAAGCTAGGAATGCCACAGATCATGTCAGTGAAGAACAGCACCCTCATTAGAAAAGAATGGATACCTCATACACAGAGAGCAATCCAGGTCAGAGGGGTCCACAAGTTCAAAGGGAATGCGGTGCCCAGCACTGGATCCTCTGGCATCTACGGCATCTATTTATAATTCAAAGTAGTCATCAGCATACAGAACAGGACAGAGATTAAATTAATGTCACATTTCAGAGCAGCATTTGTGGACATTCATAAACAGCATCTCATTTTTACATCGAGTCTTATTGAATCAAGATTATGGCAAACAGATTTTATCTCAGTCCAGGTTATATGGAAATTAATCTGGTTTGCCCAGACTAACCAGAGCAACCAAGATTGCAATGTGCTATGTCTGTCAAGGTGCTTTGGCCACTGTCTGTCAAAGAGGTTAGCAGTTTGGTAGTTCTGGACTCTCTGTTTCTGGACAGCTCCGTGGGAGGTGGCAGGGGCGCCGTGGGGGCGTTCCAACTTTGAAATCTACAGGAGTCCCACTGGGGCTCTTGTACATTTCAAAGCAGAAGTGTCACATGGAGCCTGGGTCCAGTGGCGGACTCTTCTTTGAAATGTACAAGAGCCCCAGGGGAGAATCTTCTACATTTCAAAGTTGGAAACGCCACGTGGAGCCCGGGGTCAGCGGGAAGCTGCGCTCTAGAGAACCACATCAATTCAATTCGAGTCCGGACTAGAATCCGGAGCAGTGAGGGGGCTACGTGAGTGGCCCTTCATCCCCGTAACCATGCCAGCTTCCCGGGACAGGGCGTTTTTGCTCACTGTGCTTGCATACCTAGAGTATGTGGGAGGTGCCGACTGAACCATAGCAGCACTTGGACTGGACGCAGAGGGAGCGCCCAGCTCTCCATGTGTGCCATTAGCACATCTCACGTCATGTGCCCTTGCTTTCAGCAGGCATCACTTCGGTAGCGCCCTTAGGAAGGGACAACGAGGACGGAAACAAGCAGGAGCTGGCAATGCTGCACGTGGGCCACAACAAAGGGTCTTGTAGGCCACTGCTAGAACCCTGGCAGGCCACACGTGGCCCACAACTGCTCCAGAGTGAATAGGAAAGACGCAAACATCTTAATTTGGAGCCCAGGCCTGCGCTCTCATTTAAGCAAAGCTTCAGCTGGAATTAAACTCAACACAGTTTTCCTTATTCAGGCCACAAACCCACTGCCTTCCTGGTACAGGCCCAGTCCGATTTCATTACACAGGGTTACCTTTCTTTGTGATTTTGCAGGGCACCTCAGCACTCCTCGTCTCCTCAGAGCAGTACTTTCTCTTCAGGAGGCTGCATTTCTCAGCCATGAGAAGGGCAGACTCGGGGGTGGGAGGGTGTTGGTTCTCATCCTCTGAGCAGCCTTTTTTACTCTCTAGCATTTGAACGGATTTTCTCAGACTGCAGTCAGTCGTTATTTGTTCTTCCTGAGCAGGGAAATCCTTTTTCTGTTCCACATTTACCTGTACCAAAAAAAGGTTGAGACCTCAGGACTGCAGTTCTCCAGCATTTTCACTCTGCACATCACTTCGTAAGAGCTCCTCTCTCACCCACCATCTTGACCAGTTGTCAAAAGCCGTCATGTTGTGGACCGTCAGGAAGGGCTCTGCAAGCCAATGGACCACAGCATGAGGACCACTGCATCTGGGACTTTGTCAGTCCAAATACCACCTTCCCACAACACTTTTCTAGGCATCTATAACTTAGCCATGAGACTGATTCAGGCAAATCTCATCCTGTAAGTCATCTCCTGATTGATGGGAACATCTGACTTGTTTTAAGTATTGAACGTCTGGTTAGAAAACTGAACACCATGGCGGTGTCTAGACTGCATCTCTTTTCCGTAAAAGGATGCAAATTAGACCTATCGTAATTGCAAATGAAGCAGGGATTTAAATCTCCTCTCTGCTTCATTAGCATAAAAATGGCTGCTGCTTTTTTCCGGCTCGGAGCTTTGCCAGAAAAAAGCACCAGTCTAGACGCGGATCTTTCGGAAAATAAAGCCTTTTCCGAAAGATCCCTTATCCCTTTATTTTCCGAAAGATCCACGTCTAGACTGGCTCTTTTTTCTGGCAAAGCTCCAAGCCGGAAAAAAGCAGCAGCCATTTTTATGCTAATGAAGCGGGGGAGATTTAAATCCCCGCTTCATTTGCAATTACGATAGGTCTAATTTGCATCCCTTTTACGGAAAAGGGATGCAGTCTAGACACAGCCCATGTGCTCTTTAGTGCAAGGAAGGAGTAAGAGTATATGGAGAACAAGTAAAAGCACATACATCCATATCACTGAAGTAGCCTCTTCTCTTACTCTATAGCTAAAATAGGCTCCTAGTTCCTATGTTTATAGGAGCCTCAGTATCCCAGAAAAATTGTAATTAAGTTCTGCTGCATCATCTTTAATCCTATCATTTCCATATTAGGCATTGTTTTATGAAATGGTTGCTATCAGATTGTCAAATCAAATGGAGGGACTAATTCCCCTAAACCCACCCCAGGGAATATAAATATTGGTGGCTCTTAATGGCCTACAGCATCGGAGAACATGGTACACAGGCAGAGCATGGAGGGGGTGGGGGAGTAAGGAGAAGAGAGATTAACTGTCTCTCTCTCTCTGCCCAAGTTATCCATCTCATTCAGAAGTTGCAATTTGAGGGAGGGTGCCTCTTCAGAAAGCACAAAAGGCCTTTCAGAAGACTATGGCATTAATTTAGGGTGCACTAGAACACAGCTGTGCAAAAGTCACCATTCTCGTTCCCAGGAATTAGTGCAAAACTTTCCTACCTCTATATGAAAGAATTTACACCCTCTGAGTTTCAGGTTTGGATGAATTAAAGATAGTCCTCAGCCAAATCCCCGAATCCAAACTCCCACAAACTGGTGAATTCTGACTCTGAAGCCAACCTTGTGGCTGGCCCGTATACTGTAAAATCCCCGATGCTGAACTTTGGATCCAAACTCAGGACACATTTTGTGGATGACCTATCATTAGGTAAGAGCTATATCAAAACTCTTGATCTGAACCCCTCCCAAACTTTGACATCTGCATTTGAACTTCATTACTCAGACCATCTCTGTTGTCATCTATGTGCAAGATTACTAGAATGTTAGCATAACCATAGGTATAGTAAATAAAGGGTTAATTTGACAAAAGAGAGGGTCCAGTCCATAAGAGAATAAGGCATCATTTGAAGTCCAACAGCCTTCCTTCCTTATGTGTCATTAAGCTGAATCCAATAAAAGTCCATTTGTTGCTTCGGGGATTGAAAAGATGCAGACTTTAGCTTGCCTATGGGAATCAGATTGCTGAACATAAAAACCTGAAAAAAAGTATTATTCAAATGTTCTACGTGACACAGTAAAATTAAGAACCACACATCAGAGTCTCTCTTTACCTTGAGCAACCTTTGTAGATTGTGGCTGGTGTCTCCAGATCCCACTGAATTTAGAAGATTCCCCTTTAATCTAGAGTGAGGTGACAACAGCTGCAGGATATCTGGTAAGTGTTCCTGAGCATTTCCCGGGATGGGTGAAAATAAACTAAGTAGAAGCTGTGATACAAAACAGAACACTTCACTACTTAGTTCTTTTGCATTCACTAAAGGGAAAATGGGGATTGCGAGGAAGGGGGGGCTGACAAACATCTCTGATTTGCAAAGCCACAAAAGCATTAGTCCTGGTGACTAATTAGAGCTGGGGTGAACCCCAAGGAACAAAAGCTGGTGCCATGCATGCTCACAATAAGCAAAACAGTCAATTTCAGCATATTGAACTGATGCATTGTCAACTGGTTTTGTTCTTTACACTAACACAGCTTACACACAAAAATTCTGTTCTGCAGATTGTAGAACGAGAATTCTACATGAACAAGCCTGCAGCACAGCTTTGAGAATTTGACATGAGTCTGTGCTATCCACCATAAACTCCCACTAAAGTCATTGGGAACTGAAGGCACTTACCAACCCCAATTACATCTTAGGACACCCATTTTTTGGGACAAGCAAGCCTGCAGCACAGCTTTGAGAATTTGACATGAGTCTGTGCTATCCACCATAAACTCCCACTAAAGTCATTGGGAACTGAAGGCACTTACCACCCCCAATTACATCTTAGGACACACCCATTTTTTGGGACAAGAAAAAAAGCAGACAGTGACAAAGCTGCAGGCATTTAAAAAACAGGCACTGGCTTCGACAACAGACAACAAATGTATCTAAAAAGCTACTCAAATTATTAGCCATCAGCACAAGACAATTTATTTGCATGCACCCAATTTCCTGTTTTAAAAAAAGAGCGAATAGTTTCACCAAATTCCAGACCTGGTTCAACAAAGCTCACATGTGAGTTGAGTACTAGGGATATTTAACTGCAGGTAATCAGCTGATTGAGTAGTTGATGGAAATTCCATCCACTACTCGATAAGCCAATAAGAGGGAGGGGAACTGCAGAGCCACAGTGGGGTTAGCATCCGGCCTAGGAGCTAACCCTGCCGCGGCTCTGCCTTTCAAGTGTATTAAGAGCCTGCTCTTAATACATTTAAAAAGGAGAGGCAGAGTGGGAGGGAGTGGATGAGAGCCGGGAATTAGCTGATTGCCGGCTCATGCCCAGTTCCCTGCTACACCTCTGCTTCTCCCTTCCCTAACCTCCCCCCCGACACTGTGCTGGAGCAAACTGGTTTTTAAGCTGCACTGGGTTCCTGTTCTCCCCTCCCCTGTTTGCTGCCTCTGATAGAAGCAGCAAGGGGGAGGAGGCGTGACTAGTTGAGTCACTGCTTGACTAACCAATAAGCATATGCTTATGGGGTAGTCGACCAGTTGCTTACATCCCTATTGAGTACATCCTGTATTAACATATATAACCATCTATAGTCCTTTTAAAGCCAAAAAGGGATTCCTTTTGAGAGAGACTGCAGAATTGAACCTTCCATGTGCAAACTCAATCCAGCGCAGTTTGCCAATTACAACGAGCAGCATGTCAATTTTCACTTGAAGGGTTTTACAAAAAGCAGCTCTCAATGTTCTATTGACCCTTCGCAGAGCAGTATCATTTGGTGCACTATAGCTGACAGTCGAGTTTATCCTCAGGACTCTATTGCTTAGAGATAAATTGCATTAGGTAAGAGTACTTTGAGCCTGGATTTAGAAACATCAGTTCATTACACATCTTGCCCCTGGCGCACAGGAAGGTATCACTACAAAGTGATGCACGGATCAATGACAATGCATGAGACTACATTTTGGGAAAGGCATGTGCTGGTAATTCAAAAAAACACCACAAATATCTGCAATCACTCACAAAAATCTCCCAGTTGGCTACACTGCAGACTGGAGTACATAGCTGCTCTGACAGGAGAGGGTTCTAGTTTGTTTTCACTGTAGGGCCCACAACTAAGAATTATATTTTGTATGTTGAGTGTCCCAGCAAGACTCATTTCCAATAACCAAGGCTCAAACTTACACATGCAAACCTAAGTTCAAAGTTCAAACTGGCACAATTATCAAAGGTATGCAAATAAGGATTAGCAACCTTAGCTTGCTCTTTAAAAAGCTACTCCAACAGACATCTGCATACGGTAGCTTAGTTTGCCAGGAGAGATCTATAACAAGCATCTTCCAACCGTTCACATGACCCAGGTGGCTTTATTAGCAGCAATCTTTGGAAACCGTTTTTTGTATAAGACTTTTCCTTTCTTTACTGTATCCCTTTTGTGCCCCGCCTGCTTGCTGATGCTTGGCAGCAGCGTTAGAGACTATGAAAAGGACGATGCTGCTCTCAAGCGGAATCCTGATCAGGCTGCGTAATGTTTTCCGTCTGAGTCACGGAGCTGACACAACATTACTAGAAACTCCCACTTCTGTCCCAAATGATAGCACCAGCTTACCTGGCAACAGGCTAGGAAACAGACTAAGTGAGACTGCAGGGAGTCTAGTAGAGCAATACTGTACTGGCCTCCCACTGATAAACAACTCTGTTCTCTAAATGACAACAGGCAACTCCCCCTAATAAGGGCACAAAACAGCCTTGCATACACTATGAATTGCATGCTCTCCTATCCCTACCGAAACTGTATTTTCAAAGTACAATCATAGATACAGAACAATGAAAACCACAATGAGCACACCCCGCCCCCCCAGACATCACCATGTAATCATCTTTACTTAAGCCCGATAACCATTCCATTTCATTTTCAGTGCTCTACCAGTGGTGTTGCACAACATCTAAAGAACTCACCTTTTGAGCCTCTGATTTGGCAGTCTTGTTCCCAAAATCCAGTGCAAGGCAAAACAGAAACTCTCTCAAAGATTCTTCTATTTTCCCCACATTAGCTAATGCTTGTCCTTTCCTTAAGTGACCCTGAAAAACAAACAGATTCACACTAGTTTATAGCCTTTTATCACATTTCGAACCGCCTGAATAAAGAATTACGATGGAAAACACAAACTTTCCAAATGACAAAAATAGGCACCAAGCAGCAATTGTGTAGTCATATTAAAACAATGTAGACTGAGCAATTAGAAGTCTCAGAGCTTCAACGACAACCAGTCTGAAGGTTTTTCCTATTTAGTTCTTAGATAAGTATCAAATTTACTCCTCCCTCCACAAGCACATACTCAAGTTTACGCTCACAACATCTGGATGCAGTGAAACTGATGTCGTTGAAAACCTCAGGCTCCTTTATCTCTTTATTGGAGAGAAATGTTACCCCGTCCCACTTTGATCTCCCAACTTTCTCTAATGCGTCCTGCTAGCACCATATAAACACTGCACTCAACTACTGGCAGGACACGAGAACTCAACCTCCTCAGAAGTCAGAGACAATTGTGCTATCACAATCAGCAGCTGAGCTAACCTGCCTTCTCCCCGCCAAAGAATTCAGTTGTATTACCATGGAATGCACGAGTCGTACTGATCTAAGATGCTGAGAGTTCAGGCACCTCTCAGACTCCGTTCTTCTGTGCGACAGCATTTGGTAAGCCGCTAGGATGGCCAAAGAGGTTTTACCCTGAAATATGTTAGTTAAAATTAGAACTTACCTTGGACCAATATGGTTGGAGCCTGCATGCTGTTTCTGCATCATGCAATGCACCTTCATAAGATTTCAAAGTAGAGTTAATCTGGGACCGGTTGCTATATAATAAGTGGTCATTTGGAGCTGCAAATAATGGAAACATTAACTCATAAGTACTACAAACATTACTGACACTGGCCCTTTTTAAAGACGTCTTAAGCAAAAGCTTTCTCTCAATGGTCTGAGGAAGGCAAACATGCATTATTTAAAAAAAACAAGCACAAAAATTCACAATAGCCCAGAAAAGAAGTCACAAGCCCAGACAGAACATCAGATTGTTCGTAGAAGTTGACTAGAAAGATTCAAAGGTGTGTCATAATGATCATGGTCCAATTAATGCTCCATAGTGTACATTTTAAAATGACTATCTTCTGTTTCCAAAAGGTTTGGAAACAAAACTTGTAAACTGTGCACAAACCACTTTTGCATCTTCAAAGAAAGTTAGAGGACATAACCCAAAGAACTGTGCATCAACAGCTTCTTTCACTAGCACAACTTAGTCCCATAACAGATATTACCTCGCCCACACTGTCTCTAATAGCAGTAACCATCAGTTATGTATCACAGCAGCATAAACCAAATGACCTCATCCTTTCATACACTAAGTGCTACAATGGCTAGACACAAGGGGGTTTAAGTTAAACAAGGGTACCTTGGACGAATAACCCGTTACTTTAACTTTTTTTACATTAATTTATGCAACACTACTTATTTTGTAGCTACAACACACTTGAATCTTTTTATCAAATCCAAACCATTTGTAATGTTTATTATTGGCTGGACACAGTTAACTGGAACCGCTTTCACAGATGATGTTCTGTAGAATTATAAACAATCTAATGTCCCTAATGCATGGGAAATACAAGGGGTTTTTTTTGGGGGGGAGGGGGAGGGGCTTGGCTGTATGGGACACAAAACTGTCATGAATTCCAAAAGTGACCTGCATGTATTGGAAGATCTAGCACTACCTCTCCAATAAAGTCATTTGACAAGCAAATCCCTCACCAAATTAGGCCAGGGTATTTTAAATCTTTTCCCTCATTGCAACAGTGTCACCACGTGCTGCCTAAGTCAGATGTGTCAAGCGAGAGGGAAAGCCTTATTTAGGCAAAAGGCAGCAACCCATCTTCGGAAACGAAGCATCTCCCAAAGAGCTCCACGCAATGGGAAGCCGTGACAGTGACTCAGTGGCGATTTTGATCAATCGGATCAATCCTCTGGGATGCTTTCAGAAACATGACCCAGTTTGTTGTTACTTCACTGGTTATACAACCATGCCATAAGAAGGGGGCAGGGAATCCAGACCAGAGTCGCAGGCTAAACGCTTATGCAACACGCTGCTCTCCTGACCTAGTTTCACTTTAGACTTAAAAACCCCAAACAACACCAGCTCCCCAAGCTACCCGCCTCCCCCCAAAAGAGACCGAGACACAAAGTAAGTAAATAGGATGCCTATCGGTGCAGCCTGTCAAACGACAAAGCAGCAGACGCAGAGCCTGTTATATGCCCAGTTTGCGCTGCACGCTGAAAGTCCGCAGTACGCCCAGGGCCAAGTGTCTGGTAAACAGATGGAGACTTTCAAGGGCGCTAGCGCACCCCGCATTTCAGACCCCCAGGCTGCTGCTCCGGAGAGGACTCGGCTTTCGAAGAGGCTCTCGGCAGGCCCGCTGCCACACCCATTCCCGAGCTGGACAGACCACCCACAGGGCGCCCCCGGGCTGAAAGTGTGCGGCTTGGCCAGCCGGGTCTGACCGCGCTGCATTTTAAGTCGCAATCCAGAAACGTGGTTGCTAGAAACTCGGGTTCCCAAGAGCCCCCCTCTGCCCGGCTCCGTCAGCCGGAGAAGCTGCAAATGGAAAACCACCCCAGGACGGAAGACTCCCGATTTGCAGCAGGAACCCCCTTAACTCTGCCCCACGTTGGGGGGGAAGGGGGGAGGAGGAGTCATTACCTAAGCTGACGGCTTCGTTGTACTTCTGCAGGGCAGCCTGCAGTTTCTTCTCCTTATATAAGAGGTTCCCTTCGTGCCGGAGCTGCGACGCCTTGGCTTGGCCGGAGAGCCACTTGGCCAGCAGGTTGCTGAGAATGACATTGACGCGAAGCGGCTGCCCGGCCGCCCCGCGGTCCTGGCACAGGGCGCAGAGGGGCTCGCCCGCCCGCTCCAGGCACTTCTTGCAAAAGGTGTGTCCGCACGGCAGGGAGACGGGCTCGAAGAGGAAGCCCTGGCAGAGGCGGCAGCGGAAGAGATCCCCGTCGCGGGGCTGCAGCAAGCTGCCCCCG